CAAAGATTCTTCATCACGTGCATCACGTCGATTGCAGAGCGGACCTCTAGGTCTTTCCAATAGGGTAGGTCCCAAAATATAGATTTCTTCTTCCACATGGGTGCGTGTCCCTCAGCGTCATTTGGAACAGATAGTACGCCGAGACCTTTCCAAAGATTACTTGTAAATCATTGACCATAGCAAGTATGTGATCACCAGTACGGATGGCACGCTTCTTCCGGTGATCCGCCTCGCCTTTGAAATGCTTGCCTTTCTTTCGACATTGATGGTTGGTCGAAAAAAATCGACGATGTCCCAGGTACACATTCTTCCTGCATTTGTCCAAATATATATACTTTCGGTGTCATCTAAATAGTGTGTGCATGCGTGGTATCCCTCGTTTGTCTATCCTGAAAGGTTACTGAGAGCAGGCCAATCATTGATGGTTACAAACAACAACGCATGTAGGTCAAATTTCTGCTGTTTGTGCTCATCCCACACACGTCCACCTTTTCAATTCCACAGCTGTAAAAGTTTTTCAACTAATGGTCTTAGGTACACATCAATGTCGTTGCCGGGTTGCTTAGGGCCTTGGATGGGCACTGGCATCATAATGAACTTCCGCTTCATGCACAACCAAGGAGGAAGGTTATACATACATAGAGTCACGGGCCAGGTGCTATGGTTGCTTCTCTGCTCCCCACAAGGATTAATGACATCCGCGCTTAAACCAAACCATACATTCCTTGAGTCACCTGCAAAGTCCCCCCACGTTCTCTCGATTTTTCTCCACTGCGACCCGTCAGCGGGTGCTCTCAACTTCCCGTCTTTCTTACGGTCCTCTTTGTGCCATCGCATCAACTTGGCATGCTCTTTGTTTCTGAAAAGACGTTTCAACCATGGTATTATAGGAGCATACCACATCACCTTGGCAGGAACCCTCTTCCTGGGGCACTCGCCGTCAACATCACCAAGGTCATCTCGTCTGATCTTATACCGCAATGCACCGCATACCGGGCATGCATTCAAATCCACGTATGCACCGCGGTAGAGGATGCAGTCATTAGGGCATGCATGTATCTTCTTCACCTCCAATCCTAGAGGGCATAGAACCTGCTTTGCTCCGTACGTACTGTCGGGCAATTCGTTATCCTTTGGAAGCTTCTTCTTCAATATTTTTAGTAGCTTCTCAAAGCCGTTGTCATATACACCATTATCTGCCTTCCATTGCCATCTTCACAATTTGGGTACAACCCTTTTTCGTGATCCTCTAACATGTGATCGAACTTTAACTTCCCCCTTTCACTTTGGCATTGTCTCTTTTCATCAACAATGACCCGGCGAAGATCATCATCGGGCACATCGTCTGGTTCCTCTTAATCTTCAGCTTCCCCTATTGCACCATCACCGTATTCAGGGGGCAGATAGTTGTCATCATCCTCTTCTTATTCATTGTCTTCCATCATAACCCCTCTTTCTTCGTGCTTGGTCCAAACATTATAGTGTGGCATGAAACCCTTCTCAAGCAGGTGGATGTAAAGGGTTTTCGGGTTAGAGTAAGACTTCGTATTCTCACAGATAGGGCATGGACAACACGTAAAATCATTCTTCTTGTTTGCCTCAGCCACTTCGAGAAAATTATGCACGCCCTTCATGTACTCTGGGGTGCGTCTGTCACCGTACATCCATTGTCGGTTCATCTGCGTACATTATATATAATTAAGTGTGTCAAAAACCATTACAGAACATCATGAATAGAGAAGTGACCAAATTAATAGAAGGTCATCATCACATTAAAGGTAAGAACAAGAGGCTCACCATGGTGGTGCCGACGACGAGATTGGTGCAGGCGATCGACGACGGTGAGGACGGGGATGGGACGGGACGGACCACCAAACCTAGAAAAATCTTGATGAAATGGAGTTTGGACAAGGAGCTTCGAGAGGAGAAAGCTTAAATGTGTCTCGGGCATTTCATCGAACGCCTCATGTGCATAGGAGGTGAGGTAGAGCACCACAAACCTCTCCCACGGCCGGCCAAAAAAACAGAGCACTGCACTACTCTGCTCACGGGCAAGGGGTATATATAGGCCTCTCTGTAGTCCCGGTTGGTGGCCAAAACCGGGACTTAAGGACAAAATTTGGCCCCGGTTCTAGCCACCAACCGGGACTAAAGGTTGTGGGCCAGGAGCAAGGCCCATTAGTCCCGGTTTGTGTCTGGAACTGGGACCAAAGGGGTCATACGAACTGGGACCAATGGCCCCCGAGGCCCGGCCGGCCCCCTGGCCTCACGAACCGGGAATGATGGCCCCTTTGGTCCCGGTTCGTGAGTGAACCGGGATTAATGCCCTTACTCAAGCCTCAACCAAAGCCCTGTTTTCTACTAGTGACTTTATGACTTTCATTGATAACCATTCCAGAAAGGTTTTTGTGTATGTACCAAAACACATGAACCAGACGCTCAAAGCCTTCAAGAAGTTTCATGCAAAGTTGAAATAAAAACTAGCAGGAAATTGAAGTGTGTGTGATGAGATCAGGCAATGGTGGTGTGTACCAAGGTCCTTTTGAAAGGTACTGCAGAGAGTATGCCAACCGACTTGAGAAGAGTCCACCAAAAACACCCCAGCTCAATGGTCTTGTAGACAGAATGAATAGGACACTCATAGAGAGGACTAAAACTATGCCCTCTCATGCTAACTTACCTAATTCATTTTGGTCTGTAGATCGTTCTTACACTCTCTCTTTCCTTATCTCGGGTAGATGTAAGTTGTAGCATGTCTCTATATGTGCTGTGTTTGATGCCGCTAACCACTTACCCCCTCTCATACATAATGCATAAATAGTGCAGGTCTACGGTAATTACGTCTTGATTGCGAGTACAACTGAGTACTCACCTTGCTCAATTTACTCTTTTCCCTTAGTAGTTTGAAAAGTGTGTTTGTTGATGGATGACGTTAGCTGGTTAGCACACAGACATCGGCCTGGGTAGGGATATGGACGTCTTTTGCATTTGTTTAAGCCTTCTTAAGACATCTGTATTCTTTACCTATCTAAGCTATATGAGTTGAATCTTGGTCTAAAGACCCATGTTGTATTCATTCGTTAAATTTGACACATTTTTACATTATTTGTTTAACATGATTGTTGTCATGTGAACATTTTCCAATCTATTAGCATGTTTTAAAAACATTCTTGAAGTATATTCATTCGAATATATTTACATGGTTTACAGATTTTAGTTTAAAACATTACAACAAAGTACAATGTTCATTCTCATACATATGAGCAATTCCAATAGATGACCATCCAAACAAGCATAATAATTGGTCTCTCCTCCAAATTCCAAGTGCTTGAACATCCAAACAGCATAATTCATTCCAAGTGCCAATTGCTTGAAACCTAATTCAGGTTCAATATCAATATCAATGTCCTGGCTGATTTGATATTGGAACCAATTCGATCATGTGGCCCTCAATGTCGACATCCAAACAAAGTCTGAGGGTATTGCACAGCTGATACATGAAAAATCCTTAGAGATACTAAGCTCCCTGGAAAAGGGGAGCTATGGTGCATCGGGGCTATATTTAGCATTCCTGGCCCCATATGGGTGGATGCTTGGTCGTTTGAGTCCACTCCCAAGGACATGGCAGCTGCATGGTAATTTCTGCCTTAAGTATTGACGGTTACAAAAAAGGAATCACTCCATACTGCTAACAACCAGGTCCTTGCACTTGGGAATATCATTTTTTTAATTTCACCGTATGGATACTGCTCACGTTCAAGTGCTCATAAGCAAAGTTTGTGAACTATATTTCTTATTTGTTTTAGGATTTTTTAAGTAAATCATTTCTAAGTTTAACTATAGGGGGCAGCCCGTTGCAGGTAGCCCCCGCTTGCGCAGGGGCCGGAGAAGGGTCCGAACATTTTGGGTCTATTGTACGCAGCCTTTACCCGCATTTCTAAGTTTAACCAAGTCTATATAAAATCTGAAAAATCTACAATATTAAATATGTATAATACTATGAAAATATATTTATAAGAAATCTAATGAAGTGAATTTTACTTTGTAGATGTTAACATATTTTTATATGGGTCGCTCAATCTTAATAAAAATTTACGCATGATAAATCCTAAAATTTCAACTATTTTGAAAATGAGTATGTTATATTGTTCTCATTCGAATACCTGATCTCTCTATGGTTCTTTTGTTTCGTACTTTATTACAATTACTTGATATCCTTTCCTACTCCTAGGATTATAGGATTCCTATATTTTTGTTCTTTTTTTGTCCAAACAAAGCCTTAAAACCCACCCCAACACACAACAAAACAACTGATCGTAATAACGCTAAAAAAGTTTAACCCACAATGAAACAACCGACTCTAATTAATAATCTAAAAATGGCTGACCTTACAACTAAAAGTGAAAAACGGCGCAGCAAAGCGCGCGTCACCAGCTAGTACTATATATACCTCTTAACAATTCTCAAGAAGCCTTGATCATTTGAACATGCCATGCGCCCTCCAGGAGGTTCACAGATCTGCCGTGGTTAATTCTTGATAAAAAGATAGATACAGTGCAAGTGCATATATACTTGACCCGGCAATATACTTAGAAATATTAACATAGTTGTTTTACCATATTTCCGTGTTGAATACTGAACATAGAACTTTCTAGTAACAAGTGCAGCTTCAGTCTACATAATAGAAGGCCTAGCACTATCTCGCAAACACATGTGCAATTGACTTATTAACGACATCATCCTATAATGATCTCTATGGGTGATGATGAAGATCCGTTGGTGAGCAGCTTTCGTATTAGATTATTCTCTCCCTCATTATTTGGAAACTTGGAACTGATTGGTGATGGAGCCTGCTTATTTATACAGCCACACTGTTTACAATTCTCCTTATCATGCAGATGAATTTTCCTCAAAGCCACAGCTCGCTCCATTACAAACTTTACATAATTTATCAGCTTCTCTTCCTTTTCAAAACCTTTAATGTCGAATAGATTTAAATTCTAATGCTTGAAATCTGATGTTTCCCACAGCACATTAGTCTTTTTAGCATTATTGATGCATGCATGCTTGTACCGTCCACATATATGACGTGATATCTACAATAGATGTAGGCAAAAATTAGTCTGCATAGAAGTGAAACAAATCGTTTATTTCAATATGTCTTAATGACAATAATAGGATTGTCCAAACATGCATTCAGCGTCAGGACCTTATCGATTAGGTTTCCTTTTTCTTTCCTTATTAATGCCTTGCCTAGTCAGCCTTTAAACTCAAAATCACAGCAATCCAAACATACAAAAATACCAAGTCTGGTTTGCTAGTAAAATACTGTAGTGTCACTGATTTTTTGCAGGTACAAGGGGGGTCACTGAGCCAAAAATCATACCTTGACATAAAAGCTATCGAGGGAAGGCGAGGCTTCAAGAAATAATAAAGTCCACTTAAGGTCACAGTCAGCAAAAATATTATACAGATATACAACTTTTAAATTACTGAATACAGGAACAAGCTTTTTAGGATGTTCAGGTTGAAACCAAACCTGCATCAGAAGAAATGAAAGAAACCAATTTAATCAACGAGTAAAACAAAATCAATATATCAGAGACATGCTCAAATAGAGAAGGCATACCATTTCATCATGGAAATCCAAATTAAGAATTGTAAGGTTCCTGGCGTTAGATAAACACCCACTCAATGTGAATGGTGTCTGCCAAAGCAATAGAGCAGAGGCAACTCTTATGTAATGGAGCCGTGGGACATAGCCAAATCGTACTGGAGGGTCAACGGACAACCAGGTATCATAGACCAGACTAGCCAACTGAGGGAGACAGACCAACTCAACATGTTCAAAGTAGCATCTTATAAAATTTAGTGCAATTAGCTGGGAGCTAGGTGCATCAATCTTCAGTACAGAATCTAGCTGGCTCAGCTGACACGAGTGCAGGGTCAGGGCCTGCAGCTTCTCGCATGTGTTCAATATGGTTGGCATGTCTGCTTCACCAAATTGAAGATTACGCAGGATGATGCTGTTAAGCCATCTGGATGTATTGGGGCAGGCATCTAAGAAATGCATGAAGCGCCGGCCAAACGTCATCAGGTGCTCGTCGGTGCATATACTACCTCTGATCTCGGGCCATATGCTGAACTCAAGAAACTCTATGTTCCCACTCTGGACGGCATTGCCAACAGCCTGCCCAATGGAGTGCAGGTGAGATGAGTCTGCAAGGTAGAAGATGAGGCGGAGATCCTTGATGGCACTTGCCGATGCCAGCAGCTTCTTTGTTGCTTCACAGTACGTAGCCATCACTTTACCCACTGTGCGAGCCGTAGAGGGTTGCACGAAGTCATTGATATTGAAAACCAAGCGTGTGAGCATGAGCGGGAGGTGCCTCCATCGCCTTGAAAGGGTGCTGGCCTGGAGGATATTGTGCACAGATAAGCGTTCAAGGATGATGAGAAGGATGTCATCAGGGAGCGCACTGAGCCTATCTTCTTCTTCAAGTTGGGTTCCCTAAACCATGAGAAAAAAAGATATTAAAAAAACCATGAAAAAGGGCTGGTGAGATATAAATAATGGTAAGAAAAGCTCAAGCCGACAAGATAGTCAGTATCGAAGATATTTTCTCGTCTGAAATCAATGATGCTGCTTCAGATGCAGAATTTGTTTTGGTACGTCTTGTTGGATGGATAGCAACTGTATTTCTTGAGGGCCAAAGGCCAATATATATACATGTGTGTCAAAGTGCAGAAAACCCCTTATACAACGGGGATATACCAAAAAGGAACTATACACATCTAACACCCCCCCTCAAACTCATGGTGGGTCAACAACACTGAGTTTGGAGAGGAAAAGGTATGCTGCGCTCGACTCTGTGCCTTCGTGAAGAAGTCAGCCAACTGTAACTCTGAGGGCACATAGTGAAGAGCGAGAGTCTGATCCTGCACAGCAGCACGCACAAAGTGGGCATCCACACCGATGTGCTTGGTGAGCTCATGCTTCACCGGTTCACGCGCAATACTGATAGCACCAGTATTGTCTGACAGTAAGGGAGTCGAGGTAGTAGCCGACACACCAAAATCCTCAAGTAACCATCGCAACCAGATCACCTCAGCCGTCAACATAGCCATGACTCGCAACTCAGCCTCTGTACTCGAGCGAGAAACTGCAGTCTATTTCTTTGTCTTCCAGGCAATCAGAGAGCCACCAAGAAAGACACAGTAAGCAGACAGCGAGCGTCTATCAGATGGATCACTAGCCCAGGTAGCATCAGAGTAAGCCTGGAGCTCAAGAGAACTGGAGCGAGGAAAGAAAAGGCGCTGAGAGGTCGTGCCACGAAGATATCGTAGAACACGGAGGAAGTGACTATAGTGGACAGAGGTGGGGGCTGAAACAAACTGACTCAGGATGTGAACGGGATAGGAGATGTCAGGACGCGTAACAGCAAGATAGACAAGGCTACCGACGAGGTGACGATAGCGAGTGGGACTAGGAAGAGGGTCACCATCAGAGACACGAAGCTGAACGTTGAGCTCCATAGGAATCACAACAGTGCGGTCATCACTGAGAGCAGCTCGAGCAAGAAGATCCTGAATGTATTTCTCTTGAGAGATGTAGAAGCCAACAGAGGTGGAGGAGATCTCAATCCCAAGAAAATAGCGAAGAGGGCCAAGATCAGTCATAAGGAACTGCTCGTGAAGGCGGGCCTTAACAAAGGCAATGTAGTTAGAGTCTTCACCAGTGATGATCATGTCATCAACATAAAGAAGGAGAAGAGTCCGACCATGAGGGGACGTGTGAACAAACAACACGGGATCATGATCACCGGGCAAGAAACCAGCTGTAGTCACCACAGAGGCGAAGCGCTCAAACCAAGCGCGAGTGGCTTGTTTAAGACCATAGAGGGAGCGGCGAAGTCGACAGACCATACCGTCAGGAGCATAGTACCCCGGCGGGGGCTGCATGTAAACCTCCTCACGCAGCTCGCCATTAAGAAAGGCGTTCTGGACATCAAGTTGAGAGATAGACCACTGACGAACAGAAGCCACGGCAAGAAGAGTGCGAACAGTGGTCATGTGAGCAACAGGAGCGAATGTCTCGTCATAGTCGCGTCCCTGCTCCTGCTGAAAACCACGGGCCACAAGACAAGCTTTGTAGCGCTCAAGAGAACCATCGGAGCGGGTCTTAATCTTGTAGACCCACTTGCAGGTGATGGGATGAACGCCAGAAGGGAGGGAAACCAGATCCCATGTGCCAGAGCGCTCAAGAGCAGCAAGCTCTTCGGCCATCGCAAGCTGCCATTCAGGCTGAGTCATGGCAGTCCGATAGGAGGTGGGATAAGCAAGAACAGAGAGACCATACCGATCAGGAGAGTAGCGATCAGGCGGAGGGCGAGGCCGGGCACGAAGGTTGTGAACCGGGGTAGGCGTGAACAGAGGCTCACCAGAGGTGGAAGGCGCGTCAGACACGTAAGGGGAAGCATCCTCAGTACGAGGGCGGCGAGTATAGTGGAGAGGAAACGGTGATAGAGGGCGACGGACTGGAGAGGATGGGGGAGAGGTGGAGGAGGAGGATGGAGAATACGGGGTTGGTGGTGAAGGAGAAGGAAGGAGAGGTGCCGGAGGAAGAGGTGACACATGGGGCACATAGCAGGGTGTATCGGGAAGGAGAAGGAAAGAAAGGTCGTCCACAGAGAATCTCGAGGAAGAAGAACGTGGGTAGTAAGAACGAGACTCGTCAAAGGTCACATCACGCGAGATGCGCAAACGACGACCCACTGGATCCCAACAGCGATAGCCCTTGTGCTCATCACTGTAGCCAAGGAAAACACACTCAACCGACTGAGCAGTCAGTTTGGTGCGTTCTCGGGGGGCAAGAAGAACATAGCAGACGCATCCAAACATACGAAGAGCGGAGTAGTCAGGAGAGCGAGTAGTGAGACACTCCATAGGAATGCCACCCTGCAGAGCAGTCGATGGCTAGATGTTGATGAGATAGGTGGATGCGGAAACAGCCTCAGCCCAAAAATGGGGTGGAAGGGAAGCAGCAATCATTAGCGCACGAGCCGTCTCAAGTAAATGATGATGCTTTCGCTCGGCAACGCCATTCTGAGCATGAGCACCAGGACAGGAGAACTGGGCAAGAGTACCCTATTCCACGAGAAAACCACGCAACAGTTGAGAGATATACTCTCCAGCAGAGTCAGCACGAAAAATACGAATGGGCGTGGAAAACTATGTGTGAACCATGGCAGCAAAACGCTTGTAGATAGGGAGAACCTCGCTACGAGATTTCATGAAGTAGAGCCAAGTGTAGCGAGAGAAATCATCAATAAACAAAACATAGTAGCGATGACCCCCTTTCGAATCAAAGGGAGCAGGACCCCAGACATCAAAATGAACTAAGTCAAAAGGACGTTGAGATACAGACTCACTAATAGGATAAGGTAACTGAGTCTGTTTGCCAAGTCTGCAACCATTACAATGTAAGGAGACATCTCCAGATACAGACTCTAAGAGGCCCTGACGGACTAAGGAAGACAAGCGAGAGCCACAGATGTGACCAAGTCGATGATGCCACTGCTGGAAGGACGTAGACGAAGAGGGAAGCAAGAGCATGAGAGCTGGCAGAAGTGGTGGCAACGGAAGGAACACAAAGCCAGTCAACCTCCCAAAGGCCCTCTGACTCATGGCGCCGGGGGCCAGCACCAACCAAAGTCTTGGTGCGACGATCCTGAATGGAGCAAGAGTCGGTATCAAGAATGACACGACAACCAGAATCAGTAAGTTGGGCAGCAGAAAAAAGATTCATGGTAAGGCGAGGAACATGTGAAACACTTGGAACAGAAAAAGATGGAGTGGAAAGAATACCACGACCAGCAACAGGAAGAGATGTGCCATCGGCAGTAAGAACATTAATAGGCGAATCAAGAGGTCGGAGAGAAGACAACACGGAAGAATCAGAGGACATATGAAAGGAAGCTCCAGAGTCCAGAACCCACGAAGATGTACCTGACTGTGTAGATGCCTGTGATGGTGAGGAAGAGGATGCAGTCACAGCAGCAGCAGAGCCAGTCGACGAGGAGCCTGAGGAAGCAAGAAGGCGCTTGAGGCGAACAATGTCCTGGTCGGTGAGTGACGGAGTTGAGGAAGACACAGGAGGCCCGCTGGAGGAGGGGCGCCTCTGGTCTCGCTTCTTCTGACGACAATCAGACTCTGGGTGACCTGGCCGGGAGCAGTAACCACAGACGGTGTCCCGGCGCGACGTGCCCTTCTCAATATAAGGAGCACGGCTCACCCCCCTGGAGGAGTAGGCAGGAGCGGCGGAGCAGTGAGGCGAGCAGACGACACAGGAGCCCGGGCAGCCAGAACGGACGGAACTAGAAGCAACCCAGCAGAGCGAAGGCGGGTCTCCTTGGCATGAAGTTCAGCAAGTATCTCTGAGATAGGAACACGACCACGAGAAAGCAAGTGAGCACGGCGAGGCTCAAACTCAGAGTGGAGACGAGCTAGGAACTCATGGATCCTCTGAAACTCCAAGTCAGACCTCGTAGTCTGGCAACAACGGCAAGTGCCACAAACAACTGTCCGCAGTGAGTCAAGCTGACGCTAGATGGCAGAGCACTGTGAATAGAACTCATCAACGGACGAGTCACCCTGCTGAAGAGCATGCTCCTGACGCACCACAGAAAGGTATAGAGCATCGCCAGAGGGCTGATAGCGCTGACAAAGATAGGATCACATGGCTGCAACAGTGCCTAGACCCATGAACTCCGAAGCAAACTGAGGGAGGACACTCGCAGTGAGAACAGCAGCAGCTCGAGCATCATCATTGCACCACTGAGTGTAAGCAGACAGACCATCCCGGTAGACAAAAAGAGCATCAGAATATGCAAATACCTGCTGATCATAGGCATCAACGGCAGCATCATCAAGAGCCTTGACTGCATCCCGATCAGCCTGAGAAGCATCATCGGCAATCATCGGCGGTACCGGCGGAACATGAGCCACCGGAGCAATAGGACAGGGTGGACAGGGAACCTCACCGGACAGAACGCCCCACAGCAGAAGGCCTCGCATATGGATGCGCATGAACCCCACATACTCAGCATAGTTGGTGCCATCAAAGATCACCGAGAACCGAGGAACGGCAACATAGCCCGAAGAAGACATGAGGAAGTCTACCGTCTTCTTCTCCTCTTCTCTTCCTTTTTTTTGGGTCAACGAACGAGAGGGAGACTGGATCTGGATCGAGCAAAAACAAGGAAAAGGGGGCCGCTCGCTCGAGAGATCGAGGCAAAGGACCGCCCGCTTGCTCCTGCGGCCGGGCCTATCGGGCGCCACCCAGGGCGCACCAGCAGCCAACCCAACCGAGGGCCA